AGTGCTCAAGTGAAATCCAGGTCCTTTTAATTGAGATGGTAATTTACAATTCCTGTCCTGGCTCAGAGTGTCCTCCCTGACATGAATTATCTGGTCACCCTATTATTTTACATTTACAAATCGCAGTTTACAAGTTTACGATGGCCAAGATCCGATTATGGATCACAGTTTATGCATTTGCAACTTGAGTACTACTCTGACAAACCACTAGTTACATGGGGAAAGTTATATTGCCAATGGCCGATCTTACTATGATTTTGGATTGCAATTCATTTTTACCTGCGATTACTTTAGATGTAAATTGTCTTCCGCTTTCAGCTCAGCCCCGACAGTTCTCTGGAGTTCTCTATTTGGCTTGCAGTCATTAGAACTTGGTGACAGTGAGATTTTTTATTTTGTCTAAACCTATTGGCCACTGGCAACATAAATTTCCCCATGTAATTAACGATTCATAAATGTAGTGCTGACGTTGTAAATGTGTAAACTGGAATTCTTAATCGCAGCCTGACTCATAAATTAGGATTCGTAGATGTAAAATGATGGTTGTTCTCATGAAACTTAAGCGACAGGCAGGTGCACACATTCGCGACTCTGAATATGGATTTACGTTTCATAAAATTATTATATCATCGTCACATTCAAATATAGTTACTTTAGGCATAAATCTATCTCCATACTGACCCTGTATAATAACTAGATCATCAGAAAGTAAGCTAATGGTAGTTATAATTTTAATTATATAAATATATATTATTATTTTGTCTAAATAGATGCATATATTGTTGAATAAGACCAATATTTATAGGAAATGTTTGTACCTTTCAAAATGTGCATGTTTAGTTAGTTTTATGGGTGGATATATTATTATGGTCAGCTTATGCAGGTTTAAGTCTGCAAACTCCTTAACCATTCCTCCACCTAGTGGCCACCAGCGGTACCTTCCGCGAGACCTCGATTCCGCCTCATCACATAAACCCCTTCAGTCTCTTTCGTGCTTGGAGTGCCATATTTTAATATTGGCCCTGCCTTTTAGTTCTTTAGTCTCTCATCCCCTGTCAGACATGACACAAAGGGCTGCAGATGGTGAGGAAATTCAGAATATGACCTATAAATATGTGATTATGTTCTTATTCAAAAGGCCGCCATGAAATTTTTAACAACCTGCCTGCTTCTGTATGAGCAGCAGATATGAGCGCCACGGAGTTTCCAGCTTTGCCTTTGGCTAGAAATCTTTTTTTTTTCTTTTTTGCTACATTAACATTTTGGTTATATGTGTGTTTTTTTCTCACCAAGCGTCTTGTTGAAGCAAACATCTCCAGGGCAGGATGGAGAGTGTTTTCGCCCCGTTCCTGCTGTTGCCGTCGACTAGCCACAGCTTCCACATTCCTACTCGATCACAACGCCCACGTGGGGGAATCTGCAAATATGGCATGTTGATTTGCATGTCTCCTTTTTTCAGATTCCCATTGATGTGACCAGAATCAGCTCCGTCAATCATCCCGTAAAAATTGGCCTCTCCGATGCCTTCGTGGTTGTCCATAGGATCCAGCAGATACCCAGTAAGTCGCATGTTGATTTTGCCACGTGTGTTGTGGTCTCCAACCACAGAAGGCCATTTAGGCCTTTGGAAAGCCCTACACTTGTACGGAGTGACACCTCAAGGACGCACAGTTGTGAGGTCACTCCCCAATCTCTCCAGGCTGTCCTGCAAAGCTCACCACAGTGACCCTTGGGTTCAGTTGCAGAGTGATTCAAAATAATTTGAATCAGTGTCAGTTTGTCTTTCATGTCCCCTCTTTGCTAATGTGTGTTTCCTCCACATACTCCCGTTTCCTCCCACAGGTCAAAAAATGTAGTTGAATTGGTGCAAATTGCTCATAGTGTGTGATTGTGCATGTGTGTGCGTGCCCGTGATTGACTGGGTGTTCCCCTGCTTCGTGATCAGTGCTTGGATGGATGTTCCTATCAACACTGATTATTGGCAGCGTCATTTTGTTCCATGTGAAACTCATGAGGTGCAGCGGTTAGCACGCTAGCCTCACACCTCTGGGACCAGGTCCCAGTCTCCACCATGGCTCCATGTGTGTGGAGTTTGCATGTTCTCCCCATGTCATCATGAGATTTCCTCCGGGTACTCCGGTTTCCCCCCACAGTCCAAAAATATGCTGAGGTTAATTGGAGTTGCTAAATTGCCTCTAGGTGTGCATGTGTGAGTGAAAGGTGTGTGAGTGAATGGTGTGTGAGTGAATGGTGTGTGAGTGAATGGTGTGTAAGTGTGCCCTACGATGGGGTTGTTGCCCCATCCTGGGTTGTTCCCTGCCTTGCACCTGTAGCCTCTGGGATAGGCTCAGGACCCCCTGTGACGCTGATTAGGACAAGTGGTTACAGAAAATGGAATGGATGGATGGAACTAATGAGTAATTATTCCTGTATCTATAAAGAGAATAGCAGGTCTCAGAATCACATTCATCCTGTCCTTTCATTTAAACGGTCCACGTCCAGGCAGGTAAATATCACCCCTCAGTTTCCCTTCTGCAATGCTGCCCCCACTGCATGCTCTCAAGTCTAAACACACGTCTAGCTGCTGCTGGATTCTCTCTCACCACCCCCCCCCCACCTCCTGCCTCCCCAAATTTCAGGGAATCCAATTCTGAGGTAACCGACGATGTCATTGAGCAGTGTATTGTACTGTTACCAAGGCAATGTGAGATAATTTTTTTTTGCATTATTTTCTAAATGATTTGATAATATTAGAAAATGTTCGGTACTCCATAATCAATGTCAGTTGATATCAGAGTCACAGCAGAGAGTGTGAGACATCTGCATCTTCATTTTTTAAAATCCTTCGTAGTTCAGCTTTCAATAATCCGAGAGACACTGACAGAGGGATTTGAGCAGATGTTACCTTTGCCGTGTCCCATGTCTGCTGAGGGACAGCTGGCCAGCTGTTTCGACGGGACAGGGTGTGGCTGTAAGCGTCAGGACCTCCCCCGATACTGCATCAGGGACGGGAAATCCTGTTCCGCCACAGAGGCTTCTGTACTTCATCTTAATTTTAAATTTGCTGCATCCACAGTCATCCCTGATAATATCCCCTCAAAACATTTTTGCTGATGTCTGGGGTTTTTCAGCGTGCCTGTGGGGGGGTGCCGAATAGAAAGAGCATTCACCCTGACAGCCCCTCAGACATGTGAAAGCCATCACCCAGAGCTAGAGGCTGCTCATACTTCCTGCCCTCTCATAAATGCTCACTGAGGCTCAGTACTTTGACCAAGTCTCATTAATTCACATCCCTCAAATTTATTACGCAGGGCTGGATCCAGCGACCCAAATAACCGCATGCGTCGGCTCTCAGGCACTGAGTTAGCCGCCTACTGGCATGCCAGCGAGCCGTCGCTAAGCTAAGAGGCTTACTTGTCTACAGTTCGCGGTGAGGTCCTCTGGCATTGGTGCGTTGCGTTAGCGCATTGTGCTAGCGGAAGAGCCAGCCTGCAGTTCTCACAGCTCTCTCTCTCTCTCCTTCTCTGCTGTGTGATACGGTGGCAATAGCGTGCAGTGCATCTTCCTTGGGATAAGCTGCCTTAAACTGGTCTACAGACGCTCAGATGTTTGTGTGGTTATAGATCATGCTAGGATTTTTTTTTCCAGCTTAAAGACTGTGATACAGTTATCAGTGGGCTGGTTTTTGTAAGAAAATTAAAAGTAATGTCACTTCTCCATCCTTAACCCATGCCAGTGTTTCACCTGAAAAGTAATCATTTGGAAAGGCAACAATATTTGCTGAAACATGTAAGATCTCCTTTTTACTGTTTTAAAAATGCTTGCTTGCGTTCTGCATACAATAGTACAGAAATACGGTGTGGTTAGTGTGGTCAGTGGGCCATTTGCCCAGCCTCAGGGTGGACCAAGCATGTGATTAGCCAGGGGCCCCCAGTCTCCTCCCCCCTAGGTTTGCCTTAAGCTACATAACACTTCTGTTAGTCATGTTGTTATGTCAGACGTAGCGGTTACTCTTGAAACAATTACATGTCATGCCTGGTTTGAATGATTGAACATCCCCTGCCCACAATTCCCCCTGTTGTGCTGTAAGATTCCCTTCACGGCCACGCGGATTCATGCTATGTTGGACTTGGAGTCTTTGGGAAACCCCCCCCCCCCCCCCCAACTGAATAAATCCCACAGGGATGAAAGAGAGAAGAGGCCAAACCCAATCCTTCCAACTGGGGGGCACTGTTCGTCTGACCCTTGCCGGAAGTGAACTGGAGTCTCTAGGGATGACTCAGCAAGTCGATAAAACCAAGGACTTCTGACTGGAGCTTGTGGAGACAAAGGGAGACCCCACTGGCTGGATGGATGGGCCTCGACGGTGCGCAGCAGGACTTCTCGCGTGCCGGAGGGATGCAAACCACGGAAAGCAAAAGTCGGTGTCGGAATACATGGACTCAGCAGATCTGCCTGCCCGAGAGCCGGTGCAGCGCTTCCCCAGCACAGCTTCCCAGAATTTCTTTATTATTTAAAAGCAGGAGGGGCTGTTCTTCCGTGCCACTGGAGCGGGGCTTGGCCCGAGCCTCTTTCCCGGCAGCTTGTGGCCTACAGGGAGCACTCAGCTTCATGGAGTGTGAGGATCCCTTAGAGCGTGTCCTCCTTTCTCAAACTCTGACGAAGCGACACGGATCCTTTGGAGCGATTCGTGACTCTGCCATTCAGCCGTGACGCTTGTGCTGTGTTTGCTGCGTTAATTGCAAGGGACTGATGGGTCTGATTAGCATAACTAATGGCCTAATTTGTAAATCCCAGGTAATTTGATTGGGCTAATATGAGGAAGGATGATTTATGGCTAATTACAGTTGTTTGGATTTTAGCTTCGACAGGCTAATTGCTTGAGGTCAGAAGCCCTCCCCCTCGCCAGGACCCAGTGGAATTATGGGTGTTTCTTCCATCATGTAGCCTCTCATTGTTCACAGTCTGCTGTAGCGCAAGTGCACTGGCCATAGTCACTATCACTGCCACAAAGTACCTGCTCTTTTCCCTGACCAACCAATCAAAAAGCAAATCAGCTATGACATCAATGCAAGTTATAAGTGTCCCACTAGAGACACTGTGGACCCTGACTAAGGACAGTCACTGACAAATGGCGTGCCTCACACTTTACCACCGACATGAACAGCATTCTGGGATTTCTGTCCTTGCCTCTAAAATCCGTAATCGCATAGGAATCCACATACCACTCTTTTCATTCTAGAGCAGGGATCGAATGGAACGCCATCTGCTCAACTAGTGAGTTTCACCCTGTAACTGGGCCACCTCTGTCTGTGCTTTAGGCAGATGTGCCGTGTTCCCAAGCCAAGCCACAACATGGCATCACTTGCCTGAGCTGAGTTCAGTCGGGGTTTGTGTGGCCACAGGATGGTATAAGCGTATCTGCCAGTGACAGATCACCTTTTGCCTGTAGATTATAGCCCTTAAGGAGGAACGGACCCAGTCCCAAGCCTCTCATGCTCTGCCACATTAATCTGCGACTCACGACTTCTCGTTAAACATGGGTAACACGCCACAAACAGTCCGGCCTTGCCGGCCCGCTCTGCCGACTTGGCTGCCCAAACCGCTTTGTCAGCAGGAGCTCCGCAGTCTCCGGAGATTATGGGATGGTGGGAGTCGGCAAGTGGAAGCACTGATGGCTGTTTAACGGAGAGGGAGAACAAGGGGGAAAATTGTTGTAACAAGCTGATGTCTGTTGGGATGAACTGTGGGATTATCTGTGTGCACCCTGTGTAGGGATAGACAGACAGACACACACACACACACACACACACACACACGACGACCTCAACCCCTACCCAACCCTAACCTTATCCATAAGTAACCAAACTAAATTGGAGACTTTTGGCATTTTTACGTTTTTCATTGCATTCAGAGGTCTTTATGGGTACCTGAAAAATGGTCCCCACAATGTGAAAATAACAGATTTGTAAAATTTGTACTGGGCCGGTCCAGTGAGATGTGGAAACATCTGCGACATTCCTTCCAAATCCAGTGAAAGTCAGAGATCAGAGTTCCTCACCGTCAGCTGGCAGTGTGGCTGTGAGGACCGAGACGGGAAACAGGTGAAACCCTGGAACTGAACTGTGAGACCCCATGGGGTCGTGTCTTGTAGACCCAGAGTCTAAGCAGTGATTTCTGCATAAGCCCTCTTCACCACAGCAGCAGAGATGCTGACGGACGGTCTTAAGGGGCCCCCAGTAGGGGGTCCTTAACCGTCATGCTCCCTGCAGATTCAGGGCATTATCAGCATGTGACAAGGTCTGTAAGCATCTTCAGCCCCTGAGAGCTTAGTAAAGGCAGACTGACTGGATGAGAAGAAGCTCGTTTTTGCCCTGCAGACACCGAGGCAAAAGTCCACAATACAGGGCAGGTTCCGGAATAGCAGGTAGCCACGCTGCTAACCAAGAGCATCCCTGCTGGTGCTTAAATTGGAGTCTTTCTGTAAAACACAACATGAAACACCCGTCTGCAACTATAATTAAACTATAATTAAATAATAAACTATTGATGTTAGCCTAAAAAACATTGGCAACCCGTCTTCGGTGTCCATTCCCATGAGCCCTGTAGTATGAAAGTTGGATGGGCAACTTGTTTTGGACGCACCGGCAGTTAGAAAGGAGGACATCATGAAAGTCGTCTTCTGATTGATGTACTGCCAATAAATACAATCATTTGTTGATCGTCTGAGACTGTAGCACAAACAGAACACAAAACGCAAGTTCTGGGCAGTTTCAGCTCCCATTGTTTTTAGGAGTGGTGGGACTGGTAAAGAGCACAAAAGGTAATAGGGAAAATAACAGGGTCATCTGGCCATCATGGTAGTACTGGGATGCTAAAAAGAGCCTGCAAAGATCTGGTATCAGGATCAAGGGCGGCTGAACACCGGCCCCACAACATACATCCCCACAGCATCTCTAATCGCATCCATGGACCCAGCTCCCGCTTCACAGTTGGGGGGCCGTCTCACTTAAAAGGGAAGATGCTGTAACATGGCCCTCAGCTCCTATAGCGATACAACAATCTGGCCAAATAAATAAAAAGATCAGAAGCTGTAAATAATGCACTGTGGCAATGCGGCAGGCCGACAGGGGGCTAGGAGAAGAAACAAATATTCCCCCGGTGTCCTGGATCTGTCCCCCAGTGTCCCGGTAGGACCGCCTGCCCCAGTTTCCATGTTCAAAGCAGAATGTTTATTTCCGTCTCTTTTTTTCTCCCCGCACTCAGATGTTCGGAGGAGGACGATATACGAGTACCACCGCGTGGAGCTCCTGAAGAACAAGATCACCAACTGCACGGCTGTTGAGATCATACCGCTGCCCAGTAAGGCCTTAAGGACACCGCCGTGATATTCCGTCTCCTGGCAAGAAAGGGCAGGGAATGGTTAGCTGGTAATGAGTAAGAGCAGCTCTGTACCTTGACACCCAAGGCCAGAACGTGGACAGGCGTTCAGTCTGTCGACACACTCGATTTTACTGGTAGTTATTTTAAGTGAAGACATTTGGCTTTATTGGGTGAAACAAGGGTTTTAGGCAGTGCTTCCCAGTCCAGTTCTCAGACACCCACAGGCATTCCACGTTTTTGCTCCCTCTCAGCTCCCTGTAGCAAAAACGTGGCTTGTCTGTAGGTCCCCAAGGACCAAAACGGGAATCACTCTTAAAGAGAGAGGGAGGTCATCTGCTTATGAGTATAGGGAGGGCTGGAGAACATCGATATGCGTGAAGGCAAACTGAAGGTAGCCTTGGTCTGAATAGTAAAAGCTTGGTAGGGTATTGATGCAGACCTAGGGGGACTGGTCCCTGGCTTCTTTTCTAGGTCTTTCCACACAGGGGAGTACATGTGGTTTTGCCCATCTGTTTTAAACCTGTAAAGTGGCCCCCGGGGGCCAGGCCGAGAAGAAGATGGGTAGAAAATGCTAAACCACACTGGAGAAGGATCAGTAAGGACCTGAAGTATGTCCAACAGCCCAGGAGCACAGAGCAACCTATGCCAGAATCTCCAACGGCACACGTGGTCCAGCATAGAGGCTGAAGTTCACCTAGACAGAATAAGGCTCACAAACACTGGTCCACTTGATGGAGCCATGTAGGATGGCCCTGAATGTGTGTTTACCGTTAGGTGGGATTCAGGGGCCAGAGTCCTCAGTAATGCACCACCAAGCTTAGGGCTGAGAATCACCGCTGTAAAGAGCAGAATGCGCGTCAGCGTGTCTCCCTTACCTCCTCTACCTCTCAAAGATGTAGGCAAGTTCTATAGTTTGCAAATATTACTGTGTCTATATGTGTATATACATAAACCAGCGGCAGTGTTTATGCTGGAACCACACATTTGCATGAGGCCCCCTGTTAGCCTCAGTCGCTACCCTCAATATAAAATAAACACGCTCCTTATTTAGGAGACACTGAAGCAGCACGTTCTGCTAACCAGCCTGCGAGCTACGATCTTCTGACTCCACTGTTTGTTTAATTTTTATCATCAGGTGGGGGTGGGTGCCTTTCTGAGTGGGCCTTGATGTAAACAATGCATTACGTTTGAGTAAATAATCCATGTATCAAAATAAAAGGTGGCGTACATGGCTTTATGTATCAAAATAAAAGGTGGCGTACATGGCTTCTTTAGCATATAAAAGTGGAGTTAATAGGTTTGTTCTAGGTTTGTACAAAGTGCATTAATAGGTTTGTTCTGATCTAGTGTTCTTTAAGAACAACTCCTCTCCCCCCCCAGCCTGTCTCCAGTTCACCAGTTGCAGCCGCTGCATCACGTCCCAGATCGGCTTCAACTGCAGCTGGTGCCACAAGCTCCAGAGGTGAGCCCCCCCAGCCGCCCCCATACCCACCACCTGCTTGCGGGCAGGGAAGAGGGTGACAGCAGGTGACTAAGCTTGACACAATCTTCTCTGGTTTGTTCTCAGCTGGTCCACAGTGTTTCCTTAGAATCCCCGATTACTCTTCTCAGTTCTTCCATGTTCCACACCATTTGGGAATTCCATATAGTCTTGTGTTTGCGTGTATCGGCGTCTGTAGCTATTTCTGCCGGCGGCTTCTCTCTTGCAAAAAGGAAAAATGAAGTAAATAAAAAGATGCAGAAGAAAGATGCATTCAAGCGAGACTCCGGAACGCTTCCTTGCGGATGGCGCTCTTCCCGCCTCTCGGTCACACCGCCCTGGCTCTCCCTCTGTGCCGTGCGAGCAGATTAATCAAAGCATCTTGCAGAAGTTGGGCATGTGTTCTTTTTGTGTTTAATATAGGCTACAAGCTGTTGGCTGTCAGGTGCTACAAACCTCTTCAGTCATTCTTTCAGGGGCTTGGAAGAAGTGTCCAAAAGATGCTTATTTGTTTATTTATTTGTTTGTTTAAACTAAACTGGGTGGTTTGCTGGCTCACTCGTTAGCACTGTTGCCTCACACATCTGATCTCTGAGTCTCTCTCCCGACTCCATGTGTGTGGAGGTTGCATGTTCTCCCTGTGTTGTTGTGGGGTTTTCGTCTGTAAATCTGTATTCTTAAATCCTGGTTTAATCCTGGTTTAATCCTGGTTCTGTTGGCAGAAGGCTACGCTGAGCGGCAGGCTGCTTCCAGGCTCAAAGTTTCTAAGACAGCAGCACAAAAAAAACATGATGAAGCAGGAGACACTGGGAATGACCAAAACTAGCCAGGAAAAGGGCAGAAGTGACATTTTAATGTGCCTCATAAATCCGAGGATGACCTCAAGTGACCTTCAAGCCCTTAAAGACCCATAAAGGAAGAAGGTCCTTATCAATGACAAGCAGGGAAGAGCCAGGCTGGAGTTTGCAAGAAGAATGCATACTTTATACAGACACATTCCCATAAACTGAGAAATAAGTGAAACTAAAAATGTTGCCGTGGTCTTTTAATTTTTTCCAGAGCTGTATATTACATTGTGAGGTCCTAACGTCCCCACAATGTGATAAAAGCCTGTTACTCCGCCTTTGTGGGGACCTTTTTTTGATGTTGTGGGGAAACTCAATTTTATAAAAAATCTGTGACTGCAATCAAATAACTAAAAATGCCAAAGTGTTGTATTTTGTTTGGTTACTTTAGGAGTTAAGGTTGTCATAGTTTATCGCCTTGTGCCTAGGATCTGGCCCCCCACAACCCTGCATAGGACAAGCGGGTACAGAAAATGGATGGATGGATGGATGGATGGATGGGCTTGTGCGTTTATCCAAACTTGCCTGGATTATACTTCTGCAGATTCTGTTGGGGACAGTGTGTGACTCAGTGGGTTAGGATGCCATGCCTGTGATCAGAAGGTTGCTGGTTTAAACCCCAGGGTCAACAGAATGAGCCCGTATGCCAGACCCTCAGTCTATCCAGGATGTACTGAACTGCCTGACGATTGTCTGCTTTCTGAGATGTACATTCCTTTGGGTAATAGTATCTGCTAATTAAATGTAAATATCCCCAAGTAAGCATTACTACAGCAGCAGTTACCTTGGATGCTCCCCTTTCCCAATACAGTCCCTTAACCAAAACATCTCTGTCAACTCTTGTCATAATAAGACATCTCATCAATTACACCAGAGAGATTCCACCACACCCAAGGGCAGCAGTCTTATGGAGTTCCTGTAATTTTCTTTTGCCTGCTCTGGAAGTTTAAATGATATGCATGAATTATTAATTTTATTCGTTTGCTTGGTGGCAGGCCCTGGTTCAGCGGCGCGGCCGTTACCATGCATGGCGACGGCTCTCCGAATGAGACACGGGCAGATGAAATACAGCTAATAGCTTCTTCGTTCGTTTTCTAGTTCCGGGCAAAGCAAATATGAAGCCCTTAATCTGAGTTTAATAGGATCTTTTAGCGCGTCCTGTTGCCGTAATTGTTGATTTCACCGTATGATGCCCCCCAAAGAGTTTCTCCTGAAAATGAAACGCATCTCATAGCCTGACATGGAATTATTCCCATTAGATGATGCTGAGCTCAGCCCCCCGTGAGACGCAGAGGGATCTTTGTGAATCTTGCTAGTTAACTTTAGCCTCAGTTTGGACATGTATTCCTGGTCATGTGACATGCTAAACATCGCTCCCACATTCCCAGTTCCATTGTATTTTTTTTTTAGTGTTGTATTTTTGAAAATATATTTATTTTTAGTTTTTATATATTTTATTTTCAGTTTAAGTAATTTTATTTCTAGCAATTAAAAAAAAAAAGAATGTCAAGCAGAAAAAAAAAAAAATGTTCTCTAAATGGGCAAATCATGTTCCAGGTATTAATAATTGTCACGACAGAAGTCCCGGGCAGGGTTCGAAAGTCTTTAATTAGGGTAAACCAAAGAGAAATCCAAAGTCCA